TGTTTTTTAGTTTTAGGTACTTTAGTCATTTTAAATTTATAAAGAACTTGACTCAAGTATAGATAGTACTCAGTACACTATTTAACAACTAAGCAATAGCCTCATTACTCTTAATAAACCCTAAGCCGTAACAAAGGGCTCCAAATGTGGCCTCTGCAATGCACACCAAAAGTACAAACAGGGACACCATCCATGCGCAACATGGCACTGTTAGTACTCTGATATTTTTCGGCTGTTGATGGAATCAGCCTCTCTGAGAGCTACCACAGAGTTCGGGAAACCTGACTACCAGCCGGCCTCAGAACCATAAAACTGAGTTTTAGAGCTGTACCCTCATTAGGAGATAATAGAATGAGTTGCCCAGTCATAAAAACAGAGACACAAGCAATACCCACGCATTGAGTCAAGAAGATCCAGCGTTCAACATCCTAAACTGGAAACAATGTATTAAGAATACATCTGCGCCAGCCTAATAGATGAGGAAGGGGTGCGAGGCTGGTCAACAGATAGAATCTGTTTACCCCTTAAGTCTTTGCCTAGGAGGCCTTCTACAAGACAGCAGCTGGATGCATGTAACATCTGCCCAAGATGAGTATTTTTATCGAGACACCATCTCTAGCCTTTACTCAACCAAGAGCCCCAAGGCAGGGGGTGTTTTAATTCGGAGTTAACTTCTCCTAGCCTTTGCCTAAAAAAGCGTATCCTACAAGGCAGCAGGACATGGAGCAGGTTGTACTGGGTTACATGTTACCAGTAGCAGGAAAACCTGACCTGACCTTAATTTATAATGATAAAAGCCCTAACAAACCAACCAATCAAAAATATGATATTTAATTTATTAATTTTTAAATTTTCAGTAAAAAAGTAAAAAAAAGCCTTAGTAAAAAAATTTAAAAAAAATTCTTAAAGATATTACATTAAACATAGTAGCAAATTACATAACAATTGTGTGATCTCATAGTAAAAGAACGGTTAATGGTCAGTAAAAAGAATTATTCTTTTAAGATTAAAAGGGCAAGCAGTTATAAAAAAACATCTAATTACAAGCAGTTATAAAGAAACATCTAATCACAAGCAGTTATAAAGAAACATCCAATCACAAGCAGTTATAAAGAAACATCCAATCACAAGCAGTTATAAAGAAACATCCAATCACAAGCAGTTATAAGAAAGCGTTCAATCACTATCAGCTATAAGAAAACTAAAAACCTTTTTTTTTTAGACTTTGAATGACACAAGTAGTGCAAACAGTAAAAAACTCGCTAACCAAAACAAAAAAGTTGAACCTATATGAGGCACACTATACAAAAAGGTACCAGGTCTTTGATAACTTGTTTATGAGATGATGAGCAGTAAAGAAGGTGACCTCATTAAAATTCTGAAAAAATTTTTTTTTTTTTTTTGCATTAACTATTGCCTTTTCATTAAGAATTACAATTATTTTTTTCTTTAATAGAGGTGAAAAACATGTTGACTGTTTTGCATCATCAGTTTAGTTCATTAACAAAATATTGAGGATTAACACTGTGATGTCTTTATCATTACTTTAAATATTACAACAAAGGAACAAAAATATTGAGAAAAATAAGCGATAAGGAGTTTTCAAATGAATTAACAAAAAAAAGCTGCTAAATCAACAATACCAATACAATATCAACATAAATGAGAAAAATCTAAATACTATGATAATTGCAAAAAAAAAAATGATTCTTAAGAAAAAAGACGTAGTAAACATGGGCGTTGCAGATTAAATATTTTTTCTCTATAATACACCCTATTTTATTAATGCTTGTGTTTTGGAATTGCAAAGTTAAGAACGAAAGTTTAAAGATAAAGGAACTTTAATATGAACACTTATAAAAGCTGTAATGTTGAACTGAAGAAAAATTCATTTCAAACAAAAGTATAAGGATATTATCATCAAATAACTCAGGAAGAGAAAGATATAAAATATAAAAATTATTAAAATAATTTAAAAAAATTTTTAAATTAATTTTAAAAAATTATTAAAATAATTTTAAAAAATTAAGTAAAGCAGTATCTTTTACATAGTTAATAAATTTTGTTGAAAGTCTTATATTATTTCATCTTATCCTACATTCATCCTAGTAATGTAAGTGTCATACTATTTCATCTCATCCTTTATTCATCCTAGTGATATAAGTGTCATATTATTTCATCTTATCCTACATTCATCCTAGTGATGTCATATTATACATAATATTGTTCATATTCACAACTTAAAAAAAAAATTAGACTTTAAACATGGAAATTATAAAATTGCAAATGAAAAGCAAAACTTAGTAGTCAAAAAAATTAATAGTTGCAAAAAATCAGTTGCATTATTTTTGGTCATCAAATACAACTTTATATTATTGATGATAATAACATTTAAAAATAAATGGTAATGACATTTCTAAGCATATCATATATAGTTTCTAAAACAATATATCAAAAAATTATCAAAAAAAAAAAAACTTAAAAAAAAATACACACGTTTGAAAAAAAGTTTGACTAATAAAAGAATGTTGAGACAAGCAAGATTGAGTTTTAGTTAATGGAACTAGAAATGAAAGCTCCTTTGAGCAAAAATAGCAAGCACAATAAAGCAAAGCAACTTTAGCAGGTGCTAATTATGCAATTGATTGTATATATAGTTATACAACAATTTTGTAAGACAATGACAGAAATATTGTCTTGACCACAAGCCATAGAAGAGTTTTTTTGAGACATGACTTTAGCAACGGAAGCTGAAGTGATTTGAATGTCTAATAATGGATTAAGCTGTTTAATTGGAATGAAAGGAAGAGAATGGCCATAAGATTTAAGATTCGTATAAGAAAAAAAGTTCTTTGCAAATAGCTTTTTTAAATAATTATCAAATATTTATCATCACCAAATAATAATCAAATAACTCTACCTTATCATTGGGAGAGATAATAAGATCAGGCCATGATTGAGAAATGGAATGTTAGACCTTCCTTTGTTAACAAGGCTGTTAAAGATTTTCCAAAAGTGTCAAAGAGCATAACTTCTGAGATAAGATGCAAGATTTAGTGACTGAGAATAATGGGACTTAGCATCTAACATCACCTTTTTTCATCAATTTCTAGCAACAATAAATAGCTGTTTGTTCTCAAGTGAGTTGTTCTTTTGAAAAAGATCAAAAAAATGATCACGATTAGATATTGCAGCTGCACAAGAAGATGAAAACTATGGTGTAGGATGAGACTTGACTTAGAATCATCAAGAAGGAATAAAAGCTTCCATTCCTGCCTAAAACCAGGAGTTTATGTAGGAGGCACATTTTTTGGCTGAGATAGAAAAGACCTTGATAATTTAAAAGCACTGCAATGATATAAAAAATTTTCTTTTAAATCACATATTTTTTAATTTTAAATAATATTTTTTAAAGAATTCCTAGAATTTTTTTAAAATTTTGCTTTGGAGTCGGAATCGGAGTTGAAGTTGTACTCTGAAAATTTCAAGGATTGGAGTTAAAGTCGGTACTCCACAACTCCACACCCCTGGAATTAATGCATATGTATACATTCAAGCCAAGCATGTGACTATTGGTGTCTTTGCAAATCAAAGGATAGTATCCACAAGACAGAAACTTAAAAATATGATGAGGCTGATATATTTACATTTTCAACTATAAGATATGGTTTTAAAAAACTAACTAACTGGGCATTATAAATAATACCCAGATACTTAGAGAAAACTACATATCGTAATTTAAATATTTCTAGATTACAGAAATTAAATAACTTGAGTGATAATTAAATAATAATTTTAAATAAATAATTTTAAATCACTTAATTCAATTCAAATTGAATTAAGTGATTTAAATTTTTATTATTATTTATCTTATTAGAAAAAATTTGTTAACACTAACAAAATTAAAAATAACAAATAATAACTAAATAATGCAAATTTTAAAAAATACTACACTTAGTAAACAAAAATGAAATAATTATAAATAAAATGAAATAATAATAAATAGCCACTGCAAATAAGACATACAAAAATAGTTTTATCCAACAAAAATTGCATCTTTTAAGAGATGGGAAGAATAACTTGTACACTAGTTAACCACAGCAACTACAAACTTAACCATAAAATGTGTATATATATATATATATATATATATATATATATATATATATATATATATATATATATATATATATATATACATATATATATATATATATATATATATACATATATATATACATATAAATATATATATATATATATATATATATATATATATATATATATATATATATATATATATATATATATATATATATATACATGTATATGTGTGTATGTATGTATGTATGTATGTATGTATGTATGTATGTATGTATGTATGTATGTATGTATGTATGTATGTATGTATGTATGTATGTATGTATGTATGTATGTATGTATGTATGTATGTATGTATGTACTTATGTATGTATGTATGCATGTATGTAAAAATTCTGTAATTTCTATTTGTCATTATTTCATCTCATCCTACATTCATCCTAGCGATGTAAGTGTCATACTATTTCATCTCATCTTACATTAATCTTAGTGATGTAAGTGTCATATTATTTCATTTCATCTTACATTCATCCTAGTGATGTAAGTGTCATATTATTTCATCTCATCCTACATTCATCCTAGTGATGTAAGTGTCATATTATTTCATCTTATCCTACATTCATCCTAGTAATGTAAGTGCATCCTAGTAATTAATAGTTGCAAAGAATCAGTTGCATTATTTTTGGTCATCAAATACAACTTTATATTATTGATGATAATAACATTTAAAAATAAATGGTAATGACATTTCTAAGCATATCATATATAGTTTCTAAAACAATATATCAAAAAATTATCAAAAAAAAAAAAAAAACTAAAAAAAAAATACACACGTCAAAAAATTTAAAAAATCCTTAAAGCAAAAACTTTAAAACTTTACAAATCATTATTTTGCTTACTTTTTCTTTATATAAAAACTTTCGCCATTTTTTGAATTTTCTGGTTACTCTATCAAGACGACGTTTCCAATACTTTCCATCTAATATTACAGCTTGTGATGTACTATGCACTGATTCATCTGAGAAAGGTGCAGCAAATTGAAAAAAGCGTGCTTTTTTCTTCATTTTGTCTGTAATTAAATAAACAAAAAGCTAGTTAAAAAATTAAACAACTTTAAATACTATATATTCTGTATATAATTCTTTCAGAATAAAATTTATATCATACAATACATCTTTAAGAATATAACTTACATCATATGGTTTATCAAAACCATAAAAAAGTATAAAATTTTAAAGAGATGAAAGAAACAAAGAGTAATTCATAAAAAGTGATAAGACAATACATTCTAAATACTTTAAAATTTACAATAATTTAAATTTTAGGTTTTTTATTTTCTATCAGTCCTGATAAATTCAGTCATAAACTCACTACAAATAAAAAAACCACAACTAAGCGAATTATGAATTCTGATGAGTCAAATTTGACAACTTTATTAAAAAATGACAAATGTTAGGATGAGGCAGTTAAAATGACATAGCAAATTGTATAAACTAAAAAAAAATTTTGTTTTATATTTTAGTCTTTAAACAATAAAAGAAATAACTATAATAAATAAATATAATAAATATTTAACTACACATATTACCAATACATACATTGTATATGCCATCCTCTCCATATAGCATTATTTAAACGAGTCTTTTGATCAAATTGAAGTTTTTGACTTCGAAAATCTTTCCATTTTGGTGTTATAAGCTTCCTGCAGCTATATAATTTATGAGCTCATGTAATATATTTATTTTTTAAAAACAAATTTATCAACATACATATGGATATATACATACCTACACACACATATATCAGGCCTTGTTTTAAAACATTATGTGTAGAGCGATTTACGTACGCCTTAAGCGATTTTACGAAAACAGAAAGCGATTTTGGTTAAATGACTTTTTTAACTTTTAAATTAAAAGAAGATAAAAGAAGTAATTAATTTTTAAAAAAGCCACATTAACTTTTGAATGATGTAATATGTAAAAATATTTGTTATAAAAGTTTGAATGAAAATTATGTTTGATATAAGCTTATTTACTAATGCAAAAAACTCAAATAAAATTAAAAGTTTATTTTTATTTTGTTTTTATATTATTGTAATGATTGATTTTTTAATAAGTCTTTGATAAACAAATTTCTCACATCCCATCTTGAGTTAAATAACTTGCTGTCAGACAATCAATACAGTTTTGGATCCTCTCGCTCTATGGCTGACTTGCTAACTGCTGTGACTGAAAAATTTTATTGTGCATTAGATGGGGGCAGAATGGCTAGGGCTATTGGTCTTGACATATCTAAGGCTTTCATCAAAGTTTGGCATGTTGGTCTTCTCAATAAGCTTGCTTTATATGATGTATCTGGGAAAGTTTACATTTAAAGTAGCTCTTTTTGCTGATGATTCACCTTAATACTCATGTCCTGACAAAACGTCTTCTCTTTTCTTTTGCTTATAACAGACAACCGATCTTGAATCTGATCTCACTTCTGTAACTATTTGCGGCTTAGAACAGCTTGTAAATTTTAACTCCAACAAAACTCAGTTATTTACTGCAAACAACTATTGCAGTACTGCCAACAACCCTCTCACTGAGTCCTCTTCTTTATGTCTTTGTGGATTATTATTTAATATTGATCTTTCATGGAAACCATATATACAATCAATTGCTAAATTAGCATCTGCTAAGGTTGCTTCTCTTTATTGTGCTCACCATTTTCTTCCTCTACAAATCTCTTATTCGTCCCTGTATGGAATCCAGTTGTCATATTTGAGCTGGTTTTTCTAATGATGCTCTTTCTCTTCTAGAGAAGAGGCCGGGTGAATAAAAATGAGCAATCGCTTTTACTCAGTATTTGGTCAGCTTTACGGGAATAAAAACTTGAGTAGTTTCCCTCAAATTTTTATTCACGTAGATTAAAGCAATTTACTCAATAACTGCTTAGTTTTATGTGAATAAAAACTTAAGCAAAACTGATAAAGTTTTTATTCATGTTAAGCTGACCAATTACTGAGTAAAAGCAATTGCTCATTTTTATTCATTCCAACCAAGGTCCAAAAATGCATTGTAAATAGAGTTGGACCTGCTCTATCTACTAAGCTTGAGCCTCTTTCCCATCATCACAAAGTTGTATATGTTTCTCTTTTCTACAAATATTATCATGACCACTGCTCAAAGGAGCTTATATCTCTAGTTCCATCAACCAAAACTCATTCTCGCTTGACTTGTCATTCATCAAAGTCTCATTTTTTACTGCATCTGTCCCTGCATATTCCAAAAACTTCTATTTGTCTTGCTTTTTTCCCTGCACTTCAACCCTTTAGAATTCTGTCTCATCTTCATGTTTTCCTGACTCATACAAACTTCAAATTTTAAGTCTTCTGTAAACCGTTTCCTTGCTCTATAACTCAATTCATTTTTTCTAGCAACTTCTAACTTGATAGTAGTTGCTTGCAGCCTTGTTGAGAGTAAACAAGAATAAAAAAATATATAGATAACAATGCTTAAATAGGTTATTTTTAAAGCTTTTTCCTGTAAACAAAGTAAAATCAAAATTTATCAAAAAAAGTAAAAATTTATTAAAGTCATAAATTTATTAAAGTTTAATAAAGTTTTATAAAGTTTAGTTTAATTACTATTTAATTATTATAAAAATGTTATAAAAATATTAAAATGCCATCGGTTGGAAAATCAGTAAATTAAAAAAAAAAGGCTGATGACGATACCGGTTTTGATTGTGCAAAAAGTGCTATGTATAAATGTATATGTATATAAATATATATATATATATATATATATATATATATATATATATATATATATATATATATATATATATATATATATATATATATATATATATATATATATATATATATATATATATATATATATATATATATATATATATATATATATAGCATACTATATACATTAGTTCCAGAGTTTACAAAATTATTCAAACTTTGATAAAAAAAAATTATCATTTTACTATAACTCTTTAAACTATTAGTAGTCTAAAATTGTTATGCTTTCTACAAATTTAACCAAAGTCAATTTAAGCTCCTACACTATTATACCTAATATCCTTATTACATATTAGCTTTTTATACCCTAATATATAATATCCTTAATCCTATATCCTCATTTCTAATATCGTTAAATGTCTTATAATTTTATTCTATTAAATTCTATTAAATATTCTTTAAGTAATTGTTGGTGTAAATAATAATGATTAAAATTTTTTTGTAAACTAGTGGTTGAAATTCCACTAAAATTCCCTTTGATGTATATAAATAAACAATCTTTAGTTTGTTTATAAATTTCAATAATAAATAATCAATGAATTTGTATAAACTGTCTATAAATTTAAATTTTCAATAATTTTGCATTAAATTTAAATTAAACTTTTTTTCATAATTAAAAAATGCATAAATTTAATATGTGTGTGATAAATTCATTTTTTAAACATTTTTTTATTTAGTTTAGTTTATTAAACTTATTATATATACTAATATTATATATATTTAGTTTATTAACTTATATGTAAAACTCAAAACTTTTTTTTTATTTTATCTTTTTTGATTTACATGACGCCTCACGCGCTATACACGTTCTTAAAACACTTAAAAAGCATGCAAAACATTTATAACACGACAACTGTAATAAATGTTTCTGTATAAGTGGATCAATGGATTGATATCACTTTGAAATATGTTTTGTTCCTTTAATGGTATAGAAACTTGTACTTTTTTTATTTATTTTTTTTTTACGTTATATTTACAAAACGTAAATATATTTGTGTCAAAGTTGTACCTGAATTCTAAAGTCAGATATTCAAAGAGCTTGACCAAAGAATCGTCAACTGTAAACAATAATTTTTGTTTTGAAGTTGGCTCTGGTCGTTTCTTGTATAAAGTTGACATAAACATCCCCAAAATTTACCTAAATTATAAGAGAAATTAACACATTAAAGAAAAAAAATATCACGAATTCTTTTTATATTTTCACGTGAAGTATAACCCTTATTTTATTACTCAAAACAAATTCTCCGATTGGAACTAGTAGTCACGTGAAAAAGCACGTGACCTTTTTTTTTTTTTAAATCGATTTCGAAATAAGTTATCATTTCAAGGAAATTAAAACTTTTATAAAATTTGTCGTTTTATTTTTTTAAGTAAGTCGTATTATTGATATTTAAAATAACTCGTATTAATATTTAAAATAATAAAATTATATTTTTAAAATAAGTCATCGTAAATGATATATCTATGTCGTTTTATTTTTTAAAATAAGATGTGTTTAAAGCTTTTTTTTCTTAAATGGTATTAAAGTTTAGTGCTTAAAACTGTTTTAAAGACTTCAAATTTGTTTGTATAAGGTGATTTGACTTATTTTAGGAAGTATAAACAGATTTTTTTTTCTTTTAAATGAAATATCGTGCGAGAGTTGTACTTTCAAACCAATGAGTTAAATTTGAAATTTATATTTGTAAAATCAGTGCTGGATTTTACAAATATAAATTTGTAAAATCTGGAAAATTTTTTTTTTTTAGTCATTTTTAGGCTCTGGCACATAAAAAGGCCCCCAACAACAAAAATAGCCCCGGGCCGCAAAAAGTCCTAATCCGCCACGGAGTAAAATAGTTTTATTAATTTTTCAAAAGTTAATGGAGAAGTGTAAAAAATTTTTTTGTTATTTTTATTTTTTATAGGTCATTATAATTTTTATTAACGCATTGTTATAATTTAAGTTATTTACTAACTGTATAAACTAGTGATGTGCCGGGTACCCGGTTCGGACCCGGTAATTAGGCTGTTTTACCGGGTACCCGGTATCGGCCATTTTGTTGCAGTACCCGGCACCGGGTATCTTCAAATTGATTTTTTCTTTAGTCTAAACTTTAACCATTAAACTTCTTGATATAAGTCTAAGAGTGTTATGTAGTCGATAACCACAAAGTTCTATTAACTTAAAACAATCTCATTTAAAATATTTTTTAATACATTTTTGAAAAAAAATTTATACGGATACAAAACTGTAACCCTAAATGAAATAATTCGAGAATTCGAATAAAAAGAATGGGAAAAAAAGATTTAGAAAAGCTTCTTTTTATTCTGTTAGAACACAAGATAATTTTTAGGAATTTAGTTTTGAATGAAACGCTTACAATGCTTTCGAACGCTGATAGCACTCTTCATTCGTATCAAGCAAAAATCATAAAAGTAGAGATATAAGGTAAATATTATACACATTTTTCATATTTTAATTTCGAGCGTATTATTAAAAAAATTATCCTTTTATATAAAATAAACGAAAACTTTGATATCAAAACTAGTTTCATTATCTTTATAGAAATTTTATTTGAAAGAAAAATTATGACAAAAAAAAAGTATAGCGTGGAAGTTCTTTGATATAAGCACGACTCCTCATACGAGTAAGTGCAAACTATGTGATAGTTTAGTTACGAGAGGAGGAAAATCTTTCAAGTCTTATAGAACTACAGCAATGGTAAAACATTTGCTTTTAAAGCATTCCAAAGAGTTTGAACTTGCGGAAGAAAAAAAAAAGGTTCAATCATTGCCGTCTATTTCTGAAGCCTCAGTTGCTTCTACCACCAATACAGTACAAAGTAACATTATGCAGGCTTTATACAAAAAAAAAACAGTGGTATATTGATGACCACAGATCTATTTGAATCCATAAAATAAATGGAAAACTTATTACATTGGATATTAAGCCATTTTCTATTGTTGAAGATACGGGGTTTAATGAACTGATTAAAGATGCTTACCCCAACTACAAATTACCATGTGGAACATATTTCAGCCAAAAAGTAATCCCTAGCATGTATGATGAACTGTTTAAAGATATAAAAATAGAAATCTCCCCGGCAAACTATTTGTCTCTGACGACAGATATTTGGACAGCGGATACTGCAAAAATCGCATTTTTAAGCATTACTGGACATTGGATAGATCTAACTAAATTTTCCCAAGAAACTGCTGCTCTTCAAGTAATTCATTTTCCGGAAAAGCACACAGGTGTTCATATAAAAAAGTATTTACAAAGAGTTTTAGAAACTTTTGAAATCCCGTTAAGCAAAATTCATCTTATTGTTACCGATAATACAAGTAATATGTTCCCAGGTTCGACGCCAGCTCTAGCCCAACAAGCGATATTGGTACGGAAGGAGGCGTGAACTTCCTGTTAAATGCTCTTCCGCGGTGCTCTATGATAAGACCGTAAGGACTTCTGGGAGCACCTAAATACATACAAAAAAAAATATGAAGGCTGCAGTAAAAAACAGTGGAATGTCATCAATTCCATGCTTTATCCATACTTTGCAGCTATGTATTCATGACTCTATATTTAGGCAAGAAACCATAGCCAAGGAAATTTTAACTTTATGCAGAGGAATAACGACACATTTTAATCATTCGTCAATAGCATGTGCAAAATTAAAATCAATTCAGCAGCAGTTAAGTACTGTACCTCACAAAATGAAACAAGATGTTTCAACTCGCTGGAACAGTTCATTTGAAATGCTACAAAGAAAGTTTGAACAAAAAGTTCCTTTGGCCACCTATGCAGCAGAATATGATGAAATTAAACTTCCTACTAATTATCAATGGGGAATAGTCGAAAAACTTGTTCACATTTTTACTCCATTTGAAAACTTAACAAAAAAATGTGGTAGGAAGGACGAAACTTACGCACAAATTATACCATCTGTTCTTGCATTAAAAGTTTTATTACAAAAAGCTTCATCCAGTGATATATACGCTGGGATTATGACGATGATTGACGAACTAATAAAATCCACGATATAAATTACTTTATCAACATGACGATGAAAATGTTATTAAGGAGTAGGTTGAAGAAGCATGGAAAGAAATGCAAGGAGCGCAAGATGTTGTTGACTCTGACTCCGACGATGCTCCAATAGTAAAAGCTCCAGCATCTAATGGATTCATTAGCATTGATGATTGTTTTAAAGATGTAGCTTCTATGAGGACCGGAAGAAAGCAGAGTGAAAGACGTTTCGAGGCAGAAAGAGAATTAGTAGATATTGAAGTTGTTACCACTGACATAATTAAGAAGCAAACAATATTTAAGTCTGCAATTACTCAAGAAATAGACAACTATTTATCTCTGCCTCTTTTAGAAAATAAAGGTTGTCTGTTTTTGTGGTGGAGTAAATGTGGAATACAATTTGAAAAACTAAAAAAGATGGCATTAAAGTATCATACAGCACCTCCGTCATCAATAGAAAGTGAAAGGTTATTTAGTGCTGGTGGGGACATATACGAAACAACAAGGAGCAGACTAAAAGCAGATAACGGAGAATACCTAATGTTTGTGCATTACAATCTAAAGTTAATAAAACAATTAAAATAAGATACAGCAAATAAGTGTTGTTTAAGTTCTTTTTATTTGTTTTATTTTAATCACTCTACAGTCGAGAAGGTATACCTTTTTTTTGCAATTCTTTATATTTCTTAATCTTTTGCTTTCCATAATATAACTTTCAATGGCGAAACTTTAAATTTTGCCCCCCTCCCCACAAAATATTATTTAGGCCAAGAAAGAAAAATAATTTTAACCAAGAAAGAAAAATAATTTTAAACTAAATATAGTTATTAAAAAACTGTTGCACAACTTTTATAATTTTGGCGAAACATCAGACTATTATGGTTTTATAATTTTGCAATTTGCTTGTCAAATTAAAGATTATTTGAAAAACAGTTTAGGTATTTTGATGGAGGTTTAATTAGTTTTGATTTAAAAATTGAATTAGTTTTATATGTAAAAAACTAAACTCGGACTTCTTTTGTATACACCCTGCTCAATTTGTATTTACTTTAACATTTCTTAAAGTTGAAATTTAGCCATAGCTATGAAATGCTATGGATAAGCGAGTTAGCTGGTTTAGCGACTAGCTGGTTGATAGCAATTTTTAAGCGATTTTTTTTTCTGATTTTATTTTTCCCTAAAGTCTTTAACATGATTAAAAATTCGGTTTTTAATGTTGAGTCTATTATAATAATTAGAATAGTTAATTTTCAAACATTGCGATATTGTAGCAATGACATTGCTACACATTGCGACATAGCGACACATTGTGTCGCTAGCTAAATATCGTAGTTTTGTAGCTAGCTACAAAATATTTACAAATCTGTAGATGGTTGATAGCTACATATTAAAATTTTTTAGACAGCAATTTTATTACGATATGACGCTAGCTACGATGGCCAGTGTGTCTTTAGCTTATTATTGGGGAAAACCTTTAAAAAATTTTTTTTTTTTTTTATATAATTCAAAAGTAACTTTATTTAGAAATCAAATGGTGAAACCGTATTCAAAAAACATTTTTTATATTAATGAAAACTTTTTTGTGCAACCACCTAAGTTTAATTTTACTTAGCAACGCACCTAGTAACATAAAAAATGTCATTAAAACACTAGTCTAGCTTTTCTTTTCGGATTTTTTTTTTTTTGCAGTTGTGTTAGAAATGCTTTCCACTATCTTTAAAGCCATATTTTAAAACCACATATTTAACAAAGAATGCTAAAGTAAGTCATCTTTTCACAACTAAAACGAGCTTTCTACAAAATTAAAGAAAAATGGACGAGCCTAAGACAGAATATAATAGTGATAGAGTTAAATTTTTTACTAAACGTCTTCAAAAACATAAATTTAACTACAGGGTTATTGATATAGAAATTCATGCTTCTATTTTTGATAAACTTAGATGTTCAAAATCTTTGCGACCATCACAGTTGTCGTTAAGCGAGAATAAAACGTCTTATAGGATATGTATCAAATTTATGTTTATCTTGTGTTTATAGTTTCAAAAAGTGTAGCAGGGTACGATAGATTGGTGTATGCCATGAGAACTCTTGGTCAAGGCCAAACTCGTCCACATTGGTTTTCCACTCTTATGAATATTACAAAAGGATTATGCGATAAAAGCTACGATGTTATTGTTCAGAAATTGACAATCGCAGCACAAAATGTTGCAAATAAAAACTATGCATGAAGCTGTTAAAGAACTCATGGAAGGCAAATCTCCTAATGAGATAAAAAATACTGGAGTTTCTGTTGATGGAACATGGCAAAAAAGAAGACATAGTTCACACAATGGGGTGACCGCAACCAGGCCCGGCGGATGGTGGGTTCAAAGGGTGATTTTCACCAAGGCGTCAAAAGTGACAAATTTTTATTAAATATTTATTTTTTTGGCTGAGAATATGAAAATATATAAATTTATTCGAATAATTATATAAAAAATTCGTATACTTGTTTATATAAGAATCAGTCTATAATATTTTATATAAGAATCAGTTTATATAAGAATAGGTCTATAATATATTAAAAACCAGAAGAGTTTAGAAATATTGTTTTTACCTACTACGCAAAAATAAACCCATTTAAATAAAGAAAAGAATTATTTGATCGAAGTTACTTTTTTAAACAAAGGCGAGCGTTTCTTCAATGAAGCGTTTGTGTTTTAAACAAGAAATTTTAGAAAAGCGTTTTAAATTAAAAAAGCGTTTCTTTATACGTACGGTTGTTTTTGCGGTATACGTACCGCTAAAACAACCGTACCACAAAAACCACAATCTTGACTTAAGTGACCTAGCATGTATAAAAAGATTCAGGATTCAAAAAACCTGATATATTATGATAGGTAATATGTCAGCCTATAAATTAAAGCAGTTTTATTGGTTTTTTTATTTGTTAAATACTTTGGTATTTGCACAAGAATAAAAATTTCAATTATAAAGATGTGTATTTTTTGTTTTGTTTTGTAGGAGCCTAGAAGCCGTATCAGAGAATAAGTTAGCAAAATTAAGTTTTTCTACTATCTATTGATTATAATTAGATACTGAAAAAAGTTTTTTTTTCTCAAGCAGTTATAAATCTTTATAACAAGTAGTTTTTGGGAAGTATTATTGTTGTTTTTGTTGGGAAGTATTGTTGTTGTTTTTGGGGTACATTTTATAGAATTCACTTTATAGACCATGTTTTGAAATAAAAAATAACAACAATAAATTACCATTGTATTTGATTTTTTTTTAAAGAAAATAATATATATTTATCTTAAAAACAATATTTGAACACAGCAATAATAACACAGACATCTAAAATGGCTGCAGACTTTAAAACGTTATTATAACAATAGGTTACTACAACAATGTTAAGATAACATAAATTAATAAAATAGTACTTTAACTGATTATTTTAATTCAAAAAAAGATTATTGATTGTCGTTGCATTTGTTATAATGGTCGTATAACAGTCTTTTAGATGTGGAGTGCTGGTTTGCTGGTAAAAGCATAACCGGTTTAACAACATCAACTTTTCAACTCAATTAACTCTGCAACTCACTTAGCTGCAAATTGAACGGAGAACATCGAGACAATTCGGACATTACTTTAGGCCAAAACCTTGGTATTTCCTTTGTTTGCAAAAACATTCAACTTTACATTTAATAAATTTTTCTTTAGCTTCTTCTTTCTTTTTTTTGGCTTCCTCCTTTGCTGTTATTTTTTGTCGTTTCTCTTTGTTAATATTTTTCACTTTCGCTGCAACATCTTTTGCACGCATTGAACCATAGACCTAAGTAACACAAGTAAGTATTTTTTCAAGGTTTGGTTTGATTTTCTTAATAGTTAGCAGATCAGGAATATTTTCTAATTGGAGGCTTTGCTCAGCCATTTCTCTAATCAAGATTTGAGACTGGTCAAGCATATCTTTCCAGTAATTTGCCGAACCTTTCTTTTTACCAACTGGTGATTCGTATTCCGAATAAAAAGATGAATATAGCATAAAATAAAGACATAAACCGTTGATAAATGTAGTTACGTGACAGAGGTTGTAGTGGTATGAATATGCAAAACCATATAGCTTATATCATATAAGCTTATAAGTTATTTGCTATATGAAAATATATGCAAACATTTCATCGACTGTATAACTTAATGGATGTATATGGGTATAAATGTTTAGTGTCATATATTCAGAGTATATTTATTTAAAATGTTAGCTAATAGAGCTAATAAACTCTATCTTCTATATAAAGATTACTTAGCTGGATTAGTTGATAACTTATATGTCACTCTTTACATTATGTTGGTATCTTTTCTGGAAACAAGAAAAAATCAGGTACAATTTTATTATTTTAGATGGTTTAAAAGTACTTATTACTGGAAAACACTCTAAAAAATTAAAAATCTCTATCTAGGGTAAGATATGTGGTACCCTTATTAAAGTAGGGAGTTTTATCACGTGACATTTTATCGCGGAAAAAAATACTTCGTTTGTTTTTGAAAAACTTTGTCCAAAAAACGCAAGAAAAGATTTTATGTAGGTGTCTAAGAATAAAAACCCACCCATGAAAATTAATGGTATATACGTATATATAGATGTTATTTTATTTAGAAAAGGATGTACTACAATATTTTGTTTTGGGACTACGTTTTGTTTTAAAATTGATAAAGTTATTTAATTCTAAATGTTTCAGTTTTGTTTAAATAAAAGTAAATTAAGAAATTTTATTACATGTTTTTACTTAGAGCATTATAAAGTGAGTTTATTTTTATGTTTTTGGTACCAAATATGTGAATAGCACAAATAGCACAATTGATCAATTAAACGCTAACGAACCACATACCTTGTTAAGTATGATAACAAACCAGATAAAATATGGTCATTTCCTTTATTAATTGATTTTGAAAAAGGTGATATTATTCTTTTTAGCTTAGATTATGAGGTTATATTATTTATTAAAACTTTAGAATTATGTTGTAGTATGTATTTATCTTG